GAGCCTCTAGCATGACGCTAACAGCATGGATGCCCATGGTCGAACCCATTCGTTCAACCGCATCCCATTCGACATCGCTCAAATGGGAGTAGCCGTCACGCGTAGCGTGAAAGCTTTGGTCATCTTCATCATCCAACATATTCATGTTGGATGTGAACGCGGTCCTTGGACGGACTACGAAGTGCTACCAGGTGTAACGGGGCACCCTGAAGCTTGTACTGGTGACAGTACAAGCTACTTATTCTGATAACAGAATAAGGCGGTGCCTCGTAACTTCACGTACACTGGTACGTGCAGAGGAAGACGGTAAGAAGAAGCGAGTACTTGGTTAGAGTAAAAAGTAGAACTGTATTTATAATAGTTAATGTCTGCAATAAATCACTATTTATCTTCATCTAACTATGTCTAAATACAAATGTGTAAATCAATTATCTGCTCACCACTCATTGCGTGCGTCTGTCGTGGCGCGTCTTCGTTGGTTGATATAATGGCCTATATCAACCAATTAGGAACTACTTGTAAGTGCTACAGAATATTTGTCCTTATGACAATATTCTGAGAATATAACTCTTATAGTTATATTCTATTAACAATTTCTTATAAATTGTTATGTAACGATTCACCCCGTTACATAATGGACTTCGCTGATGCAAGAGCGATGCGTGCTTATTTATTAAAACATAGATTTCAGATCAAACGGCATGTGGAAAGTGTCTCGCATTCCTTGGTCATCGCGGGCGGGAAATCCCACGACAGGTCGTACATCGTCACGAGGTGCTGGAACGTACCGGGAAGCTCCGTAACAGACCTCGATCGATTCAACGATTGTAGAAGATTTGTACTTGAACGCGTAGTGCTTTTCGCATGCCAAGTTCTATCAGAAATCCTATGTGTACTGGAATGAACACATTGTCGTGCCGTCGAAAGCCCGTACAGTTGTAAGCGTTGGAGAACGTTCGACGTCGCTGTTCTAAGTGGAATGCACGTGCGTCGTGCGTATGCGCTTGTTACGAAGGATTCAAGTGTGCCACTTGGACCGTGGCTTCACACGCTTCGATCCACGTTTCTACAGGGACCACACAGAACCTCACTAGCTCACCCGCAGCAGTGCTACCTACCGGTGTCCAGCTTCGAAAAGGTTGATTTACATACGTGAAGAGCTACGGGTGGCGCAGAAAGTAAAATGTCATGGCCGCTACTTGCGCTCGTGATCATTGCCTTTATACGAGGGGCTCAGACTGTCTATTATAGCCACATCTCACTAAGAAGATGTCCAGTTGTGTGGTAACCGCTTCGTGCCATCTACCATGACACAATCTTGCTACTCCTAGCTTCTCATTCCGCTGGCTCAAGACGTCGGGCGTGGGCGTCACGACGGGGCACTCCCAAAGGGCACGTGGAAACCGACCGTCGACCAAATCCGACATTAGATTCTTAGGTGCACACTACCAGATGGCGGGGCTGCTCTCGTACTCGGAGCAATTTGATTCAAGGACAAAGATTGCTTGACTAAGAATCCTGTTACCACTGTGGTAGTCCCAGCGAGTCATCTTGACACAATCCCTGGCCATCACCTCGTAGTCGACTTCTTGCTCTTCAGGTCGGCTCGGACTCACAACGTGCTCGATGTGCCCAGACTCACCACTGGCCGAAGAGTATCTGGCTCGGTGCTACTGAAAATAAACAACCGGTTCTAGATCTCAACGGGGGTCGTCTCGGTCTTGGGGGAGTTCTCTTCGTGGGACCGGGCTCATGCTCAGCGAACGTGTCGGTGAGTTGTAGGCAGACCGCGAAGAGTAGGAACTTCTTCGTTTTGCAGGGTTAGTAGAACCACCGTCGACGTGCCCTGTTCTAGGATATCCTGCGGACCGCCTTCCCCCTTTTGCCTTGGCCCCAACTACGAAGAAAAGTTCCGCTCAAGGCAAGGGGGCCAGTTCCCTAGCTCCCTGGAAGGTCTCGCCTCCGTCCATTGTAGTGGCTGGCTGCCGGTGTTGGGAAGTAATCATCGCCTTTATACGGCGTGCGATCATGTCGCGTTCGGCCTGAAACATAAACTCGAGTCATATTACTCCCTGCGAGCCAGACGCTGATCGGGCGCAAGCAGACACTTGTGTTTCTTTGTGAGCTGCTGGTACTAGTCCGTATCATTAGCTGCCTTTCTACCCCCGATAGAACTGCATTGACAGAGCCAGCGCCAGGTGACGACCACCGGGCAGAAGTGCAGAGCTCTCCTTTTATGCCACTGTACGACACTGTCTTTTCCATTCTGTTGCGGCAGCGAGCTGCCGAATGTGCCGCAGTAATTTTGAGGCCAGGCTCGTGGAGTCAACACCTCGCGACATAGCAAGTCAGAGACAATGTCGGTACCGCAAGCGTAGACTACGCGGCTCCAAGCAGCCCACATAACCAGTGGCAGATGGTGGGATGAGCTAACCCTGTCGATGGGTTTGCAATGTATCCGTAACGAATCCATCATGTCTACTGGTTCACATGAGACAGTCAAACGCGCTCGTGCTTGAAGCAGCCGCTTTTTCAAACCAGCACCGATCATGTTAAAGGCGGGTTGTATTTCGTTCTTCAAAATGCTGGGCAAGCTGCGAGGGTGCTACGTTCGGCACGGTTTATTGAGCCAGAGCCTGGTCGCGTTTTCTTCATTGCAATTGATTACCCAGGAAAAATAGGCCTCCTTCTCTCTCAATACGTTGCGGTGCGAACGAGCTTTCCACGAGTCCCGTCTTACGGCTTGAAGTACGAAGCGCATCGCAAAGCTGCTGCCCACGACTAAACGAGACGGACCGATGACGACTACACCACGAGGGTGGGTCAGCCAATACGATGGGTCATCCCCTCGCCGATCGACATCCAAACTGACGCTCGAATGCTAGAATCGCTATACTAGATAAGTTGACCAGAAATCGATCAATCTGCGTGCCACGCTTCTTGGGGTTGCAAGCGCCTATCACGCACTCGACGGTGGGGCGTTGAAAATCATTTTGAAAAGGCGTCAAGCCCATCGCGGCGATCCCCGTCGTACGCCAGCCGTTTCAGCTTGAGTCGTCGTCATCTGCTCGTCACGAGTTGGATCGTCCGTGGAGAGACAGATTACAGATCAAATACGATCGCGAGCCGCAGTCCTTCCTGCTGGTCTGGTACTCTATGTACAAACGTTGATTGTGGTCAAACTGCGTCAATCGTTGCTAACAGTTTCCATGTCCTCGTACACTTTTCCCCACGCTATCGAGCAGTGCAACCCACTGGAGCTGTCACATTTGTCGACGATTACGGTATTAGAGTCATACATTCAGGTTATGGAGTATGAGTTAGCTTGCCTCGAGCAGATATCGTGGGGTGGGGTTTCGATGCCAGCGTCTCAGCTAAGGCAGATGGACGATTCGTAGGCCTTTCTTACGAAAAAATGACGAACACATTCAGCAAGGGAAGACCAGCCAGCTCACTTGATTGAGGCTGGGAACTTACCCACTGACGAACTGCAAGCACGTTCCGTCTGCCTTCGGGACTAGAACAATTCCAATACCTGATGCTGCTGATGGTCGAGGATACGCTGGTATTGATGTCAGCATCGAGCTCACCAAATTCGATGGGTGATACGCTGATGTCAGGTACGTTGCTGGGTGAGGATGTCTCGTCGCGTATGAAGCCACCTCCCACCCGATACTCGAGCCCAGCAGCGAGGTCGGAATACGTATCTTGCACTCGTGCGAATCCTGATCGAGCCAGCGTGTCTCCCCAGCCCTCGTCTGCCTCTTGCTTGTTTGTGAAAACAGGCTGTTCGTCGCGATCTTAGTGAGACGACCGCAAGAGTGAGAAACGCTTGCTCGGCTGCAAATAAAAGGACCGACCAGACTGGATACCTAGCTCGCTGTAGCGACGGCAAAGATTCGACCATCGCGTAGAACGATAGCACCGTAAGAGCGAGCGAGAGAAGCAAAAGCACCAGCATATCGCGAGAAAGCAAAAGCTGTTCCGCGTGTTAGCACTCACGAGTTTTAGACCATCTTGCTTACCAGCCAGCCATTTACTCTATTCGACAGAGTTGTACGAATTGCTTACAGTTAGCCCATGGCCATAATCAAGTCCTACGTGACACGATGCCGCACGGATGCAGAAGTGCGTGCCATTATGTATTGCACTACGTATTCCTCACGTACACGTGTACGGCACGTCAGCCGGAAGCACGATGTCCACTCTTGAGCACAAAACGCGTCTTGTAGAGAAGTAAAGTCCGATCTACGGCACCCAAATCGATCCAATAGCTCCTCTATCCTTGTAAAAAAAAGTCAAATCACATGGAAAAGGTCGTTCGTTCGTTAGGCTAGCTCTGTCCGACCCAGCTGGTCCACTGAGGTTATGGCTAGGAGAGCTCAAAAGCTGGTGTCTTGGCCTATCTGGCACACGATCCCTGCAACTCTGCCTCTCACGGAGGCACATCAGGTATTAGAGCGTCTCCAGCAGTCAGTCTAACTTCACTTTCTGTCCGATAAAATAAAAGCGTTATTTAGTTGTACTCCTAAAAGTGCGCCACAGCAGCGAAATAACTCGAGAAAAAGCTCTTTGCTCGTTCTCCCGCCCACGTTTTGGAGTTCTATGACACCCGGGAGAACTGTTTTGGCTGCCTGTCATTGGCTCAGGATCTTGAGATCAATCAGGTCAGTGGCTCCCGTGTAGTTTTTTTGCGTAAAAGTTTATGGAAAAGTTATTCTGGTCTCTCTATGTGGTGCACAAAAGGCTAAATTATATCAACAAAAAGTTAAGGCATGCTACTCACTGTTGGAGACGCTGTCAGACCTGCTGTACCTTTCGAGCCGAGCCGAGTTCAACGGTTGTACGGACCGTCCGATCTTCGGGCAAACAGCAGTCGCATGAAGCAGCCAGGCGGCCATGTTGATTTCGCCTCGTGAAGAGCTCATTTTGCAATTCGCCATCAGTTCGGCACACCGACCCCCTGGGTCACTCAGTATCATCCATTAAACCCGAGCTCCATGCCGACACCCAGCAACCGTCGGAATGCCAACCGTGCCCGGTGCCAATTCATCGGTTGCGAAAAGTTTGCCCAAACCCGTGGCCTCTGCAAGGCGCACGGTGGCGGGTCTCGCTGCCGCGATCCGCACTGCAATAAGCTCGCCCAAAGCCGCGGGTTGTGCATTGCCCACGGTGGAGGTCGTCGGTGTCAAGCTGACCACTGTAGCAAGCTGGCGCAGTCCAAGGGGTTTTGCATCTCGCACGGTGGCGGTCGCCGCTGTACGATCCCAAACTGTGAAAAGTTTTCACAGGTCAAGGGCCGCTGCAAGTCTCACTCGAAGCTCGTAGTGACTGCTTCGTACCCTTCGTTTCACGGGGTAGTGACCCCACCAAGCTCGACAAGCTCGGCCGCAATCTCCCCTACCAGCACGAAGCTGTCGATCGATTTTCTGCTTTCGCGCAGCACTTCCATTGGTGACAAGGCTCCATCTCAGCTGCCGATGCAAGGAGCACCAGCTCTTTATCCCACTCCTCACGTCGCGAATCCGTTCATGTGTACTGCTGGGATGAGAAGTGCCCCTCGATACGAAACGAATGTCATGGCAACCCAGCGCTCGCTACTGTCGTTCCTCCAGCCCTGCCATGCGGATCTTTCGTACTCGGCACCGCAACATCAGTATGTCAAGTTTCTACGAGGCCCCGATGCTACCATTGCTCCGATGTTTCGGTAGGTAGAAGGATTGTAAGTCAAGTTAATGTGTCGTAAGTAGGCGAAGGTACGTATCGAGAGACGATTACAAAGGGTGCTTAAGGAATGTAAAGATGCGCTCGATATTTAACTCAGAGAGATGATGTACATTACTTTCTTCCTGCTTGTGAACGTTAGTGGCATTGCTCGCTGTTACATCCGTTCTTCAGTCTTTCAACTGCTTTCCAAAGCGTTTACGATGGTCGACTGCCTGAAGACGGCAAGCGAATGAGAGACCTTGTCTCGGAGTTGTACCAACGACATGTTGCCGCATTGTAGCTTGTGCACAAAGCCAGCACACGATCTGGTAGTGAACGATCAGTGCGCGTTGTCTTGACGATGGAGACCGTTCTTATACAGCACATGTTTCACCACCACGGCACGTCGGGACAACCGCAGAAGATGAACCGGATTCCCGACCATGCGTCCTATTTCCTCTCGAACCAGATAGCCATAAGCGTGCGCAGCAGCCCAGCCATTCGGTCAAGCTCTTGCGCCCTGAATCGAATCCAGACTCAATTACCTGTCATAGCCTCGAGTCTTTACGGAAATGTCTCTTGTGACGCCCGAGTGTCCCGCCGGCAGAATGAGAAAGCGATCGATCGAGTCATGGTCGATGACCGAGATGGATTTCGCTTGTCAGAGACCTTGCACGTAGGCTTAACTCCGTGCAAATAGACACTCAAAGTTCTCTTACTGTTTCAGCACGTGTTCGGTGCAAGCAGTTACTGCAACATTTCATCGATACATGACCCTGGGTTAACGAGATACGCCTTGCCAATGGGGTTCTCGGAGGTCTTCAAGAAACAAAATCGGTAGATAGGAGTGTGCACAAGGCACTTCAGCTGCAAAGTTCGCTTCTGATCATGTATGGAACTCATCCGAATCAAAATTCTGCTTGCCAAGACTGCGCTGTTGAGTCCAACATGATGCAATGAGCCCCTCACAAGTGGACTAAAGCGACTCGATGACACAAGGTCCGTAAAATAGCGGGACGTCCTCGCGTGCATGCAAGCCGGTCGACGAAGCTTTTTGAAGTTCTTTACTAAGAAACCTGACACATTCGCCGTGTGATACAGGTCGATCGCATCGAATGGCTTACTCAAGCTCAAAAAATGCGTTGCACCGCGCGGAATCGTAGCCTGGATGTTCCTGACGTTCGTGGTCATCACCTGGTTTGTGCAACCCCTGTCTAGGCCGGTTATCTCTCACCTATCATCGTGGCCACCACTCAGCTGTATGCATGCGCAGTTCGTATGGCTCGGAGCGTTACGTCTACTCGTTGCGAGCATTCTTTTGGCTGCAATTGCACTGCCTCCAGAGTTCTTTGACCGTCTTGTGCGCTGCCACCTCGGGATCATTTCATTCTCCTTGGCATATTGATACCTACAAAAGCAGCTGGAGCTAGTCACGACTTCCACCTTGCAACGGTTTGATCTTGAATCGCCGCACGCGGGACTCTTCGCTACAAATGTCTGCACACAAGATGAACGACAGATCTTTGTCGAGTCTTCTTCATGACGCACCATCGACAGATCTTAAACAGTTTCGTCTCGTCTAGAAGGACACGGACAAAGCTGGATTTGTCTCGAGACAGGATTGATTACTTCGTCATTGCTGCCTTTATGCTCTAACCTCCGCTAGCTGTCGGTCTCCAATGGCTTCGCCGCATGATTTCAGCCCACCACCTACGATTCCTCTTGTCACGTCTCAGATCAGCGTGCGCTCTGAAAACTACCCAGGGTTCTTTTGGAACGAAGACGTCGCTTACAGCAATGATGCTGCTGCCGAGCTCACTGGCTGCAGCCTTTCAATCTGCGTGAAAGCTGAAGATAGCAACTGTCTGTCAGAGCGGTAGTCTCTCAATGCACCAGTCCTATGGCCATTGTCCTCCGGATGCGCTTCAACTGTAATATCCTGCGTACCAACACGATCATATCCGGCACAGCTTATTGAACCACAACGTGGTTCTCTTCCAGGCTCATTGGAAACTCCTGCAAGTCAAAGGCACAAAGCGTCTCGAGCAGCACCTTCTATCTCCTTCCATTCAGCAAACATGTCAACAGTGATGACACCCTTTGCGCTTGTGAAGATGCGACCTGTGGGCATTAAATTGTTTGTCCAGCCTGAGAACGCAATGGCCGCGGGAAATAAAGCATTGTCTCCGTGCAATGCGCAAGTCGGATGCTGGACCAAAGAGGAACATGCAATGTTCCTCGAAGGTTCTCTTGGACTTCGACCTCAAGGGATGAAACTACAAGATCACCCCGCTCGACATCCCAGTTCAAGAAGGCACACGAAGTGGATCAGCTCTCACGGGATGACAGTGTCACAATTCCAGCTTCCACTGAAGAGTACTACACAAGTCCTGTAGCCATCGAAGATGAGCTGCTGAGATCGTTGTCCACTGGCAAAGAGTGGGTGCCTCGTTCCGGCTAGTGCTTAACATTCGTCAACGATCACGAAAGATGTGACCCCATGGAATCCAATTATCCTGTGGACTCAGCTTAACCGACATCACCTGTTCCAGTCCTGCACGTCACCCAGAAAACTACTAGCCGTGCCAAAGCGTGGCTCTGCCCGTTTTACTCTGGTTCGGCACCGTTATATCATCAGGATACTATTACGTTGCGACTTTGGTGTGTCGCCTTGATCGACAACTACGCAAAAATGACTCTGCCTTTCATACATGTGGAGAACATAGACGCACTTTAGTTTCTTGTGCATGTCGAGATGTTGTCGGCCACATCTTTTAACCATTTTTAAAAGATGAGTTGGTTCAGGAGAGTGTTGCCGTTACCATGTTTGACATCTGGTATCATTATCGACATGAGACAAGACCTCCGTTCTAATGGAGACCTCATGACTAAAACATTCGGTGCTAAATAACATAACAACGGCTATGAAATGCTGGAAGACGATGCGCACCTTGCTCGACAGCATATGGATGTCTTTTGTAATCTGTGCACTACTAGTTGGAAATACTACCGAGAAGAGGACGACACGTACACTGACAATGACGCGTACGATGACAGCAGCAAAGAAAGTGGACCGGGTGAATCCGGACGTTGTAAGGAACATCTACTTTATAAATAGTGCGGTAACAGTCACCGGTTAGACAACAGACGTTCTTTACATTCTTCGCCTCATCATCTACCATGATTATATCTTCATGGTCCGACGCAGTGATAGGTTCAAAGATAGCGTCGCTGCGTCACATATTCGAGTGCGGAATCTGCTCGAGCTGACAAGCCGCTTATGTTGCAGTTTGTCGCACTATAAGTGACTTTCTAAGTTTTTGAAACCAGGATAGGCCGTTAAATTCATTGGAAGAGTCCACCACACGACAACACTCCCAAAATCCAGTTAACACGCGTTGCACAACGGCAATTCGTCTAGCAACCGCTTCACTGCATTTTCCATCCATCTGTATCGAGTATGTTGCGTCGCATGAAAAGACGCATGATCGCCGGTTGGAATTTTCGCCACACCAATTCTAACGCTGATCTGCACCAAAATTGCGAGATTTTTTGCGGTTATACATAACCAGCACGCAAAAATGTTTGTGAATGCCGCCGACCTGATGCGGCATGTCCGTACTACTGGGAAGTCACGAACCGGATCGCAGTGGTCAAACTGCGCATTCATGATGCTCCCACTTTAATTTCACTTCCATTCGAAGAGTACTGACGCCAGGAAATTTACAGTGGTTGCAGAACTCCAAGCTTGGGGGCAGCCTTCATTAATTACTGAAGACCGGTGTGCCAAACTCGCCCGGGCGCACTGACAACATCTTGGACACATTCTGTCAGTCGCGTAGTAGAATAACTGGTTCCAATGCAAACAACTGACACGCTTCGTGTGATGATGTGACTGCATCTACGTCGCAAACTTTTTAGCTGGACAACGTGGACAGTACCAGTCGCCTGGTGGAACGACTGAAAGTGGGGGGTCCAGGCAGAAGGCGTGATATGCAGCATCACAACTATCGCACAACAGCATGCTCTCCTGCGCACTCATCTGGCCGCACTGCCTACACAACTCCTCTGAGGCAAGGTGTGCCACTGGGGTGTTCGGTGGCACATTTGTGACCCACTGCTCGAATAGTCGATCGAAGATTGCTGCAGATGCATGCATTTACAAAAAGATTAGTCCAAACTCGCACGAGGTATGTGCTCAGAAGTGGATACTCACATCGTAGTCGATTCGCACACCTGGAGATGTCAGCGTCCAGTCGATTGAACATGAAGCAATTCTCCCAAACGAGGTTTACATCCTGCACAAGCATCTCGAAACGCTGGTCATAAAAGCCACGGCTTAGCCGTGTCCTGATGGTTCCCAAATCCATCGGGTGCTTAATCAAGTCCGCATACCCAGGCACTTCATTCAAACTCACTGGTGCTGAAAATGCTAGTGCCAACTCGTTTCTCAGTACCACACTGATGATGTGCTCCAAGCGTGACCGCAGCGTTTCATCCTGTGCGCTTCCCACAGGGAAACAGTGCCGTAGAGTCTTCATCTGGAAACAGCGAAGCTCAACACAGTGTGTCTCTAACGGTACTGCTACAGGAGTTGCAACGTTTGCTAAGCCCTGTGCTCGCCGTTTCCGGTATGGAACAGATCCCTGACCCGATGCCTTTGTTGGTTGGACCCCCGGATGTTTCCTCTTTGGCAAAGACTGACGCGCGATTCCACTTTGGGACTGCCCAAGTGCTGGCGTTGTTTGGGTGTGACCAGCTGAGCTTGCTGTGATCCATTGCTCAACTTGGTCGATTTCAAGTGACGTTATTGCTGCAACCTCGTTTCTGGCCTTTCGATATGCGTATGTTGTCAACGATTTTTCCTGCTGTGCTTCCAGAATATTGTGAATCATGTTGTTCGCCAAATGAACAACGCCAGGTGTCAGACTGCTGATAAATGGCAACTTTGACAGGTCCAATACAGGCCCTGTAGCTTTGGCTTTCTGACTAAGTATTACTGTCTTCTGGGATTCGCCCGGTCGGTTGGAATTTGCACTCGTCGGATTCCGATGCTTACGCTTGCCTCCGCGTTTAACGCGTCCGTACGATATTGCATCGTCCAACGAATACAGGCGCATGGCAGCGGATGCGATCGTTGCTGTGGTGATTGCATTTTTTGCTGATGGGAGAGGGGACGTCTTCCAGCACGAATCGAGCCATTCTGGATCAATGTTAGCTTCCAAGAAAACCACAGCCTCCATCAGTGTGGCTGATTTGTCACACGCATACACCATCTCCGCCCATGCAGCGCGGACTGGGCGTCCCCAGCGACCTAAGCGGAAAGCGTCCCGTGGGATCGCTGATTCCATGGTGAGCAATTGGGCCCGAAGCAGCAGAAGCGAGCGGGGAAGATCTTTTGTCAGTGGACGTATTGTTGCACAGAAATCTTCTAGCAACTCGGTTGCTAGCTCTCCGATCTCTCCATCAGTTGCTTCCTCTATCCCAGCATCGCCTCCGCTCGCTGGACCTCCTCGGTTATTGGCTTTTACGAATTCGGGGTCGTACATATCGGCGATGTTGGTAAGTTTGCGAGATACTCGAGAAGATCTCCTAGAAGCGCCGCCCCCTTCCGTTACACTAAATTCTTTTACCCCTGTTTGGACAGGAGACGATCCTGTTGTAACCAGGGGAGGAGGCTCCTCCTGATGGACTGCTCGCTCTGACTGGAGCAACGGGACGGCGGGTGCCATCGTCATGACACCTTCTGTCGCGCGGCTCACCTCAGCTGCGGGCGTGCCAGACGTAGAAGCTGGCCCAGAGCTCGAATCAACTTCCACAGGAGCGTTTCGTAATGCACTCGATGCTGCCTGCAACCCCGCCAACTGCGCTTCCCGGTCGTGCTGCCTATCAGTATCACTTCGTTCCCCCTCCACATCCGACTGTGCTGGCGTCGTCATTTGCGAGAGCGACGGAGACCCTGGTTCCGTATCGACATCTGCAACTGTTCTATCGTCAGTTGCCCTGATCGTGGTCCCACTCAGCCTATTTGCACTTGTATCCATCTCGAAGTTGGACCCTCCACGGTAAATCATCTCGTTTGTGTCATAGTAATTCACTTGTGATTCGTCACTTCCATTAGGTAGCAACTGCGAGTCATTCCCTGCAACAAAACTCACAAATTCACCTGTGGAATTGTTGCTTTGGTATGAGTTGGAAGGTCCAGATGGTAATCGCGCAGCTGGTGGATAGCCCATTGTAGACGAGGCGTTGGGCGGTAAAGACATGGAATCGATTGGCAAATGTATATTGCCGTCGTCATCCATACCCATAGCGTTAGGCGCTGATTCCGGTGGGTATAGCTGAGGAACAGTCGGGTTAGATGCACTTTGCCAGCGTACTTCCACGTCTTGGACACTAGAAGTATTGGTAGTCCCGACGCTGTATATGTCCGGCAATGTTTCGTAGCTTGAAACGCCCATGGATGCAGCTGGAAAGGATTGCACGGGTATATTGCCGACCAAACCTGACGTAGCATCGGCCACTGGCATATTATTGTACTGCGAGGATGGATCCCCCATGGATTGACTTGAAGAATCTGACGCAAAAGAGTACGAATTAATAGAGTCGCTCATGCCAGGAAACTGTCCAGTAGTCGTGGTTTGGTAGTTTTCGCTGGAATCCACGGAGCCGACACCCGAAGCCATTGACCCGCACCGTGGTTGCGTACTAGCATAAAATTCATTGCTGTTGATGCTCCTTGCCGGCACCTGCTGATTACGAGCGTTCGACTGCTGTAGATGCTCATTAGAGGAAACTTGATGAGGGGGTGCCGATGTGCCTTGACCGGTTACATTAGTTGAACAGTAGCCAAAGCTGGAACTTGAATTGTGTTTATGTACCATCCTGCCAAGAGTAGCTGGCAACATCCGCCGAAATGTCACTTGCAGCGGCCGTTTGCTGGTGGCAACCGCAGCTTTGAAGCCTTCCATACCGATCACATCTAACTTATTACCGTTCACCGCATAGACCTCGTCGCCCGCCTGCACCTTGCCGCTCGCTTGAGCTTGCCCCATCATTTTATTGCTGTCACTCGAAAATTCCGTCACGACAATAGCCCCACGGCTCGAATAATTAATCACCACGCCCAAAGGACCGCTCCCAAACTCCACGTTTACAAGCATGCTGTTGTTGCTGGCCTGATTTAAAATCTGCGTCTTTTTAGCCGGGATCGTTTTTGCAATTGAACCTGATACGGATGACACTTTCATTAGATTCTGGCCTGGACCAGTTGTGCTGGAAACCATTTTCATTTTACGATAGAACGTCTGGCGGATGCTCTCCAGAACATTGATTTGCTGCACGAAAGATGGAGGCATGGACTCTACTCCTGGCGTCGCAGAGGTAAACAACGGCCGACAGTTGCTTAGATCGTCATAGCTTGCGCCTGACAAGTACTTTGTCAACCGCAAAAACATCAGCACGAAGTTCGCGACATTGTGCAGCTCAACCGACAAATCACCGGCGCGCTCGGACAGCTCACACTTCTTTGCTGCAGTGGCAAAACCGCCAAGTGCGCGTGTGCGCAGCATGTTCGATGGATCCACGCAGCTGAGAATTGCTGTTGCAAAGGCATCGGCCACTTGTTTCACCAGAGCTGAATCAGAATGAGTTTTTTTGCTTGTTGTTAAGGCCTGTGTCGCCGTAGCACAAACTAATCCCATCACATACGCGTGATGGAGACACACAAACGTTTTGCGATCCGGATGAGTTGCACGAGGATCTACAATGATGCGCGACATTACCTTCTTCACCTCTTCGAAACTGGACAAACAAGCGTATGCGAGCCCGTTTGTCGTCTGCATAGTAGCAGATGCAGCAAACTGATTCCAAGCTGCCAACATTGACCGACCTTGATCCACCAGAGACTGCAGTGATCGCTTGAAGGAAAGAGCATTGTTAACCGCGCCGAGCGCGTATTGCTGCATTTCAGTAGAACCATTTGGCGCCGCACATCGGGACCGCTTTGATTGATCATCAACTTGATGTGCGCGCGATTCTTCTATTTGAGCGTGCTTCCGCTTCAATATTTCTTGGTAGCGCACTTGCGCGGCAGCATATGCAAACGACTGTAACTCTCCTTGTATCCTTGGCATCCCAGTCTGATGGGACGCGGACCCTGCGATATCGAGACTGTTGTTCAACATAGCTTTGTCTGATCGAAGACCGCGCTGAATAGCTTGATACACACCCCGTGAGATCGGAACAGGCTTCATTCCTCCAACCGCACCCACCACACTTCCGTACTCGTACTTACGCACGAAGACACGCTTCACCACAAGTTCTGCCTTCGGGGTCGGAGCAGTCAAGGATGAAGGGAAATTCGCATTTCGTAACGTAGATGTATCATTAGCTACCAAGATATGAATCCCAGTAGAGCGGATCGATGTCTCAGCGCGCTGGATTGTGCTTTCTGCGTCCAGCTGTGTGCGGAACGACCCCAAAAAATGTTTACGGCCACAGTAACCCACAAAGGATTCATACTTTTCCGTATCGTCGTCTACGACCAGAAGCACCTCCTTTTCGATGGAAAAAGGTCCATCACGGAAAAAGCCTTCACTGAAGTACTCGCAACACGAGGAGCCCTGCTGCAGTCTGTCGCTGTGAAGATTCCAATGATAGCACCACCGGATTTGATTTGCAATTGTGGAGTCTTTCGAATCTTCATCCAGATATGAGAGAAGTTGCACGAGCTGTGTTCGCGTAGCGCACACTGCCCACTTCCTCTCCGGGGACAATACGAATAAACGCCGCCGATCGCTTTTAAAGCGATAATAGGAGTACCCGAACCGGCACTTACCAAACGTGAAAGTTCTTGGAATGACAAACCGCTTGATCAAGCTCTCCACTGCCCGAGTTTTCTCAATTTGAGGAAGCAAGGAGCTACATTCTGACCACGCAACGTTGGCACTTTCAACGCAGCTTTTATGGGCTTGTAACAAAGTCACAGCTCTGACGACGTCGGTGAAGTGAATATACACAGGACAAACCGATGACAGATCCACACACAAGGCCTTGAATGTTGTCCAGCTCAAACCAGCGACAGGTTTTCCGTTAAGCCCTACAATACGGTCGCCAAATCCAACAGTCAGCACTGCTGCATCTTTGTCCATCTCGTTCCAGTTGGCATATTGTTCACAGTACACAAGACCCTTCACTGCAATGACGCCAAGGGAATCCAGAAAATTCGCGGCTTCGAATGGTAGCGGTAAGGAATCTACGCGATAAGTCTTCACATTGGTAGATGTAGGGAGTTTCAGCTGCTTGCATAGCAGAGACGGGTTGCCTACAATTTCAGTCAGACGCTTTGTTGCATCTTCGAGAGTCACAGCTCGAGTGCCTTCTCCGGGCGGTTGACGAGAAAAGGTCATTTTCAGCGGTCTCGGTAAGCTCAACAACCATGATGTAAATTGGGACAAATCACTCAACTGACCATAAGATTCATCATTAACGCGCTCCACGAAGTCCCCGCGTAATATACGCCCGCTCTGAGATGCTTGACCCAGTGTGCCATCAGGGTGATCATTCAGTGATTTCACTACCACGCCCCGAATTTCAAGTGCTAAGGCCAAGCCAAGTGGCCCATTTTGAAATACCACGTCGTAAGAGGTTTGTCCACTCATTTGGGGCGCGAGTAATTCGGACCGAAGCGCGGTTAACTTCGAGCGTTGTGAAGACACATCGTATACAGTACGCTGCCATTCTTCTTCAGCCTTTCCCATCTTCGCGGACGGTGGACGGGCAAAGACGACACAAGTCGTGTCCCTGGAGCATTCCACATCAAGCAAAGCTTCGACATCAGCCACATTCATATGGCGTACAGGAACATCATTCACCATCAAAAGCACATCGCCCGGAAATACGTGCCCGCAGAGCTCCCCGAATCCTGCGGATACGTCTACTGATGAACAGTGAGACTGAACGAAAATGTAAGACTCATGAGCAACCAAAGTCAACTCCAATGGCAGACCATGACATTTTACAATTGACACCGAGGAGCGAACAGCCTCTCCAGGCAGCGACGTTAAGTACAACAAAACTGGTTCGGTGGCCGTACCCAGGTGATCTCGGATAGTATCGGAACTCACTCCATACACAACGCGGTCATTGATCGCGTAAACAATTCTCTTAACACCTTCGGGTTCGATCTCCTGGCTATCTGAATACTCGAAATCCAGCGAAAGGCTTGGTACGGTACTAGAGCCTTCAAAATATTGCACGCCATCTGCCGTGTCTTCGAGATGCAAATTTGCACGATCACTCATCGCGAGCGTCCGAACCGTCAACAATTCTGCCAGCAACTTCGGAAGTTCGTATTCTTCCAGCAGCGTCGTGCGGGCTGTCAATGGAGATTGCTTGCAAGGGACCAATGGGCCATTCAGAATCCCATCTTCTAGACCACAGAAAGCACACAGCGGACGCGGTGAAAGTACACTTGGTATGCCTTTAAGAGTATTGGTTTCGCTCAGCGTTGTCGACGCTTGAAGAAGTCGATCGCTAAATTCCTCAAGAAACATCTCTTCTTCCGCGTCAGAATCGTCGGACATGTCATCATCATCATCTGCGTCAATTGTAAAAGCCACTGGTTCCTCCTTCACCCTCTTTGACTTGTCAAAGAGCTTCATCCGAGCGCTTGTAGGCAGCACAAGAACAGGTTTCAACTCCAGCTCTGCATTGGCTTTTTCTTCCAAATAGGTCAAAAGCTCGTCAGTTAGTTCGTGCTCTACACCATCAATAATAAACTTGTTCGTCTGCTCTATGCCGTGTGGAGGGCGTGGTGGAGCGAAAAAATCCCATTCGCGCTCCAGGTCAGCCAGTGGCTCGCCCACCTTTTTTCGCACATCATTTGCCTTTTCTTCAAGTGAGTGATAAACTGATTGAACTGCGGACGACTCCTCCATCAACTCGCAAAGCGTTCGTAGCACTTCCAGTCGATCGGCAACAGTCAATTGAGAGTAGTTTTCAAGTGACAGAAGACGAATTGCTGACAAAAGCCGTTTTTCTAGCTCCGTCAGGCTAGCTCCATTTCGTTTGCTGTCGGCGCCGTCTCCTGAGTTTGTCACCTCTTGGACCATTTTCTGAAACTGACCGGATGAAAAGGAGGAATCCGCAAGGCAAGGAGAGCAAAACCACTCACCTCTAGGGATCACAGGTAATGACGGATTGAGGCAGAACGTATGATACGGCGCGTCACATCGATCGCATACCAGCAACCGTTCCTTCGCATGAACCGTTCGGCAATTGCGACAATTGTCTTCATCCGCAGCAATCAGTGGTCGGTCCAGGGTGGTATAGACCCAATCTTTCATCAACCGTTCAAAAATCGTCGACAGCTTTCGGGCCAAGTTCGAGATTTCCGCTTTTCGTGAGTTGTACGCAAAACAGTTTTTCCACACGAGCTGCACATCATCCACAAAAGACTCCACATCATCGTTCTCGTAGTCTTCATCTTCGATTTTTTCCAGAATTGTACCCAGGTCCATGGGCTCCGTAATATACCCACTAGAGTAGTAATCAGGATAGAGCTCGGCATCCACTGGCTGATTAAAGGGCCCTGCAATTCCTTTCGCTCGAAGAAGCTTCAGCACAAATGCACAACACCTCATCTTCGTCGCTCCATGCGTTGTCGCAACATGCTTTACTGGATTCTTTACGACAGGAACAATTGAGGACAGCAACAAACCATGGGGAGTCTCAAGTTTACTCAAAAGACCATTGAAGTTTTCCAGAGATGCTTGGCGTACGTCGTGCCCGTTAATAAACATGACATAACTTCCAACATGGATCCTTTCGGCGTCATCATTCTTTTGCTCATTAGCGGTACCTTGAGACGAGTCCGCAATGTCTGAAGCAGTAAATTTCGTGGCCAGCGTTCCCGTTACAACAAGGTGTCCATCTTTCTCGCTGACATTCAGTCTACTCGATACACCATCGACGAGGGTGACTCCGTAATAATCACTCGATTTATTAGATGCATTGCTTGCTTCCAAGGGTAGTGTAATCAAGCCTCTCTCATGCAAGCCTTGTGCCTCAGCCTTTGTTCTCTCTTTCTCTTCCTGGTACGGCATCCCTTCCGATAAGTGGGTACCTCGACGAGCTAGTTTCTGTCGAAGCGGGTGCGTAACTGAGTCATCCCGATACGATTTGGAGCCCTTTATCGATTTAAGCAGTTGTTCGTCTGCGCTGGGCTGCTTGAATTCAATCGCAAACTGGCACACCTCGCGTGCGAGTTCTGGCCAACTGAACGCGTTCAAAGGTCGTGTGCGGTAGAATTCATCAATTGTAATCCCCATCTGAAGCAATGGGAAGTATTCCCTGATCAACACTTTTAGCAACTCTGCATGCAAAGAAGCAAAAAGTGTACCGATTGAATCATCGTCTAGTTCCCCGTCCCCAACAGGACTGGACCCGTCGCTCAGCATCATCATATCCACGAAGACGCGTAATGAGGGAAGTGCCGTAAGTTTCAAACAGTCGGAGAATGTTGAAATGAAATCCCACACGAACAGTAGGTCAGTGTGAGAGTCTGCTGGAATCGGATCCAATTCCACTGCTCGAGAAATCGCCTGGGTTGGAAATTTAACGCCTTGGTTATCTGAAACGTTGGGCGTGCAGAGATAGGGATAAGTCGAGGAGGAATGACGGACTAAATCTGAAGTATAACGGGCTTTCACACGAGCCCAAACCTCGCTCTCCACCTCGCTTCTCTTCTCCCATAAACAAATTTGCCGGCGTCGCTCTCTTTCCTCTTCCACGAATTTCAATAGCACCAGCTGCTGCTGCCTAACGGATAGGGGATCAGATGCAACTTTCCTCACCCCTGAGTCGCCGAATCGACGCAATGAAAGCGGTGACGTCACGACGCCATTCTCGAGGATTGCTTTCTGCTCTTCGCGCATTTGGCGACGCTGGCGCAGCTCTTCTGTCCGTCGCTTCATTACATTTTCCTTTTCCTCTAACCTCTTGCGCTTTTCTTCTTCCCGCAGCGCACGTTTACTCTCTTTTTCTTCTTCTTTCATGCGCTTCTCTTCTTCCCTCGCCAGACGTGATGCCTCTTTCCGTGCTTCTTTTTGACGAGCGGCTTCCATCTTGCACTCAAGAATTGCACTTTTACGCGCTTCCTTTGCGCGCCGTTGAGCTTCTTTAACATCTTCTTGAGCCTTGATTTCGATCTCTAAGAGTTTTCGCGCTGCTTCTCGGACACTACGCTTGTCGGCTTCACGTCGAGCTTCCTCTTTTTTTTTCTTCTGACGCTGTAATTTGCCAGGATCATGAGAGTGCTCTTCCAACAAAGCTTGTTGTGATAACTGACGGCTTATTTTATCCTTATAAAAGGAGCTATGAACTTTCAGCATATCCTTTAGTTGACTCTTCAGACGCGACCGTATTCTAGCATGAACGTCGGGCGTAATTGGATGCCGGTGCTCCCAGAATTGATACTCTTTGCATAATAGTACTTTGTGTAGTCCTTCCAGCACGCGTGTAATATTTCGTCGTAGCAGACCGAATCCATCTTCACTGCTAGTAGGCGTTAATACGTCCATGGCTGTACCGCTATCATCATGTTCCACGGCAAGCATAGACTCGCCAACCACGGCCATCAAGTCGTTCACAGGTAGTCCTTCAAAATGAACCAGGGCCTTCTTCCAAGCTTTACTTGCTACGTAAGACCTAAATACGATATCGACTGTGTGAAAAGTTAGTGACTACATAGAAGGAAATACAATTCCTACCGTCCACACTCCACCCACCTGCGCTGTTCTCAAGCTCAACCATAAATATCGGAGAGTTTTTCTTGCTGCCATGCACGATTTCTACAGCCAACACAAGAGCATTTTTACATCGGTCACCACCCAAGTAGTACCAGAACAACATCCACCATATCCACGTACTGCACCGCAATCGGAACGCCACTGTCACGGGTCTTGTAATTTGCACATTCACGAGCGTCTCGTATCCAATCTTCAATACATCACACAACACAATAAGACACACACCAAAGCAACATCCACGTCAGCCTCTCTCTCTTTCTCAATTCATTGTCCCAAGGCAGTTGCTTGCACGTACTGGAAACAGCTTCTTGCTCGTATAAAAGTGTTTCGCAGGGATCACCGTTCCAAGCGCTGTGACCCGAATAGGTCCGTCTACTAGCGGCAGTTCCAGCGCCGCTACTTTCCGTCTCAAGATGGCGAGGTAGTACACGTCTTCTCGGAGGATCGCGCCCTCTACCGAGTACGCGTACGCTCGCAGCGCGTCCCTCAAGTTGCTGTACGTGCACTCGTCTGCGTCCACGATCCGGCCGTCGTCCAGAGCGCGCCAGTGACGCAGCGCCGTCGTGTCCAGCGCTCGTTCCTGAGCCACAAGCCGAAGCGACTCGAGAGACGCGTCCACGTCCGTCATCGAATCTCTGCGTGATTTTAAAGGGGACGCAGACGCGTCAAAAGTGTCGCGGGTTGACGCGTAGCCCATGGCCAGAACCGTCGACGCGGCGTTCATGTCTTCATCCGTCTCTTTCTCTTGCTCGTCCTCTTGCTCCTTCTTCGTCTCCTCGTCTTCGTATCCTGAATCACAGCTACGGACACTCTGCGACTGCGTGGGTGACAGCTCCGTGACGGGCGGAGACAGTTGCTGCTGCTGCTGCGCACGTCTGTAGGGCCCCTGCTGCGCTTTGAACGGAGGAGGATCCATGGACTGCGGAAAGAGAGAGTGATTGTCGTAGGTTTTGCTGTCGCTTTTCGAGGTTGTGTGGTGGATGTGGTCCACAATAAGCGAGTGGATCGGTATACCGATATCTGCTGATGTGTTTACGGCGTACTGGTTCGTAATGGAAGGGAACTAGTGCGGTGGACATTGACCATGGTTGCTCATTTTGGGCGACTGTCAATTTGATTTCGTAACGTTTCTAAGTAGACGCGATTGATTTGAGATTTCTAGTTATTTAGGCTCTGAAGCTAACAAAATATATGCAGCTGTGCAGGATTATGAAATGTACTAGAGTATCGAGGCTCTATTTTTTATCAAACTCATGAACATGAGTAGCAGCTGGCTGCGCGCATCAATTTCAGTTCCGCTTTTTGGTTTGTGCTGAACCCGCTATGTTACGCGTTCATAGTGCTCTCGTGGGTGAGCATGTATTTAACACTTCGATTACTATGGTGTCACTTCACATCCGACAAGCGCGATTGTGATGTGCTAAAACAGCAGGATGCATGATTTTGATCCGAAAACAGCAATATTGCGTCAACAGGTTGCAATTTCCGAGACGTATCAACATCATGGTTGGAAACTGTCTTTGAGAACAAGCAAAGAGACACTATAGCAAGAGATGCATGAACTAGTAGCGAAATTTGAAGGGTGTTAGTCGATGATAAACACAACATAATGTCGCCTTGTTTGACTTGCGCTTGTTGCGTCACTTTACAGTTGGACTGCGTGACCAGTACTCCTCGTGTGACGATTGTAGAAAAACTACACAATCGTTGCGACTCACAAGGAATGTCGTTAGGGGTGCAGTCTGCACGTCGTATAGCATCGTATATCGCGGAACGCTGTACGATGTAATTTGCAAAACGGTGACAGGAACTGTCCGTTTACGGCAACCGTTTTGCATAAGATTTCAAATTGGTATTCCGAAATCCATTCTGCCTCTTACATTTAGGTGCGATGTCGTCGTAAGAGCCTTCCTTCGCGGCTGCAACGTTTTGTGCGTAACAGTCATAAATACTCATGCTTTTTCTTTCTGGACATTGCCTCCACATTTTTGCAAAGTATACGTACTATCCAGGGTTGTACGAAATTCGATGGAATGTATCACTACAACTCTTCTTTACTACTCGTCAACTGTCTCTGAAAGAATTCTATCCTGCCGATATCGATGTGCAGAGACGACTTGATGTTAGGTGGTGAAGCCCATTGTGTCAAACCCATAACATGCAATGTCGTGGAATAGGAGCACGTCTGTGCTTCACGCTTCCCTCTTCCGCATCAGAGATGATAAAATCACGATTGTTTTGCTGCGTACTTTGGCTAGACCATATTTAATCTCGAAGCTCGCAAAAATCCACGTTCTGGTAGACGGTCTAGGTATCGGTCAATGACAAACTCATCACGTTGCATAGTGCCAAAAGAAAAAAATGTATTAAATTTAAATTTCGTGAGCCTGCTTCGTGCCAGCACTATTATGAAGTCCGATTGTTTACCCTTTTATTACTGAACAGGATTGTGACATAATGTAGAAGTCTTGTTCTAAAAGCTCTTCGGTCTACGTTTCCAAGCTTCTATGTCATGCGATGCAAGCAATCATATTTTATCTACTACTACGACACATGCATCGTCGACATCGGAACGTTCTCAATTTGACATGCGCGCATTACTGACGCAACGTCTACGCTCAACTTTTTATCGCTAGCACGTAAACATCGAAAGGCTCTGATTAACGATATCATTATCTAATGCTCAAATGAAGCAAAGGGCTATGCGGTGGATGTCTTGTGGTACGAACATGCTTTCTTGAACTGTGAACGTTGATCTTCTTGATATCTGTCTGTCAGAATCGCACCAGCGCACGAGCAACTGATACACAATCCAAGTCATCTTAAATGAGCTGCTCGTGTATACCCTTCATACGTACAGCCGGATCAAGATCGACTTCATATCTTTCACAAAGAAGTGTTACGTGTCTCGATCCATCGCAACCTGGTGGGTGTCAGCAGAGCGTAGACTCGTCCAAAAGTATGTGGCTCGGAACTTGAGCATGGGATGGTCCCGGACGTATAGGTTGAAATCACCACTAATTGAGAAAGTCCGCCTTGACGTGATGGAAAGACGCTCTTGCTTGAGCTCCTTTAGTGCGCCAACGCTAAGAGAGCAAGCCCGAAAGTGCACTCTGCAATCGAGAAGAAGCCCCACGAACAAGCTACGACGGTCAGTCGAAAAAGTACCAACCTCCCTTCAACAATGGCAAACACGCACCAGCTCTCAAGCGAGCGTCCTCACCTCGGCTCTCCTCCGAGCAATGACACCGACTGCCTTCGACAACCGATCACAACGTTCACAGCTCTGCTACGCGCAGCTCAATCGACTGATATCGACACCCCTGCCGAAGTCAACCGGATCGAAGCAACGATAACACCTCATTCTTCGGTAAATAAGCGCCGGCTTCGAAATCGCGTCTCTTGCCGCAAAACACGCCTCAAACGTAAACTCCAGCAGCATCTGCTCGAGACTCTAGCCCGTGAACGTCATGCGCGACATGACTATCTGGAACATCTCGACACTCAACTTCGTTCCACAAGCAATCACCACCAGCGAGACTGCAAACTCTTCCGTGAATTTGCCGCAAAAAGCCTGCACTACGCACTGGTTGACCCAGAATACGGCGGGTGGTTTGACGCCGGCATGGATCAAGAGCCACAAGCTTTTGGAGAGCAACTTGGATACGACAACGAAGAAGTTGACCATTTACAAATGAGAAGATCCAAGTGCATAAAGCGCGGCCGTGGCGATGACGTTTCGAGTGCACTCCGGAAGAGATCCCAAACTTCACAATCTTTGCTCTTCGAGCAGTGGCAACCAATTGTTGATGAGCTGCAAAATATCGACTTGCAGCTGCACCAGATGGACGAGAATGAGCTTATCCCTGGAGTCTTTGATCGGTACTGCTACTGGGATCTCGTCGGTGTGAGCATCGTAAAAGTGAAACAGGCCGGTGAAATTGCTACGGTTGCAGTCTCCGGTGTCACCAGACTACGATTTCGCGGCCGTCATATAAAGGAAGTTAGTATCAGCACTATTCGACGCGAAGAAAATGTTCCTTGCGATTTTAATACGAGCAGCTTATACACGCCAAAGCCCGATATACAGTCAGAAGCAGGTGACGCTGCATGAAACTTCTTTCACCAAAGAGAAAACAAGTCACCGCGCCCAACGTCCCTTCCAAGATACCGTAACGTTCGAGATTGTGGATATCGTCGAGCAGAGAATAAGAACAATATGTCGTATCGAAACCCTACAGCACGTGTTCTCATCGCCCTTCGTATACTTGCGCATAAACCGAGGCCCTCATTATCCTTTTACCTCCGTGGGTTGCTCGGGCAGCCTTCGTCTAGTAGATGATGTCGCCAACCATTTTTGCCAGGAGCAGTATCCTCGTGGCAGAGTGGGCAGCGGTTTCCGCACAGTACACGAAGGGGACAGTCGTTAAGAGACACATGCCGCTCAAAGAATTTATTGATAATGGCTTCGCCACAACGGGGACACTCGCGATAATTCTGCCGCATCTCGCACTCCGTAAGCAGATGATCAGTCAGCAGTGATATCTCAATCACTTGGCCACACATCTTGCATGGCGTAAGCATTTTACACGATTTCCAAAAATGTTGGTCTGTATCAGAATTCTCGTTCACGACACCACAGAAAGGGCACGTATGCTTGCCCATCAATTCCCCGTCTTCTTTGCCGACTACGTCCTCCACTCCACGCTCGAATTGTATCTTGGGCTCATATGATAGCTTGTCCAGTCGACATGTGCTATAGCCAGCAGTTAAAACGGATGCAAAACTGCCATCAGGGTTCGAAGTCTTCGCAGTTTCGGCTGCATCAAACGCTGCTTGATAGTCAGCTAGCTGCTTTGGCCGGAGAGATTTCAAGTACCCGTGTACCTCGTTGCCGACGACACGATACAGCAACACAGTAATGTCCTTTCCAGCTTCCCGAATCTCACGGCTTTGATGTGCTAGGCAGTTGCAGCCTTCAAGAAACGCCATGATGCCAGATGCTGTAAAGACGGTACCCGGCACTAGATTGAATGCCGCAAGTAGCTTTTTCAAGACAAGTAGTCGACCCTGCAAAAGCTTCAGCCCTGGCTGCGTGTTCGAGCACTTCGAGAGATGCAATGCGACAAAAGCCACGCCAACATTTTCAGCAGCTGCTAAATGTTCCAACGCCACCACTGCTTTCTTGCGAAGCTTAGCATGAGGTTCACCCAGCTTGTTAACGATTTGAGTCATCGTGTTACCTAGCTGCACATAAATAAGGTAAGTTTTCGTCTTTCTCACATGTGGCAACACAATCTGTGACATGTACGACGTACGATCCGACACATGTCATCTTTGCGAATACTCGCACCAAACGACACCATTCGATCGACCAGACAAAAAGCAGCAAGCGCGACCTGTGCAATGCGGTCTCCGACGCCACTTTGAGCTAAAAAAGAGCACACCTCCAGTACCTCGATCGGTTCGGCAGTGTAGTTGTTCATCTCCATTGTAACTTTTCGAATCGCTGCATCCCGATGGTTCCACAAGTTGCTATATAAACATCGTGTAGAGAACGATCCAATCACAGAAACAAGCTTCTCGCTTTCTTTTGCAAGTTCTGCAGGAAGTTCGTCTGGTTCGGGCAAATTAGCAGCACCTGAGGTTCTTTCGAAATGAGGATTCAAAGATCGACGTTTGCCATCCCCCTGTTCAGCATCGTCACGACCACGTGCAGATTCCTGCTCATTATACTCAGAAAAGCATCCTTGGGCAGAACGACGTAGGACGCTGTGGCCTTCGTCATACAAACTTCCCTTCTTCACAACCTGCGATACTTCAAGGTACGTATCTCGCGACGAGGAATTTAAGAATGAGCGGTGCATTACTTGACACTGCGGCATCGCTTGACTCTTTGTGAGGAAGCCACTCGTTGTCGGTATCGGCAAAACCGGCTGCATCTCGTTACTGCTGACCATAGCCTCGAGCCTCCGAATCTCCTGTTTAATCTTCTTGGCTTTGTCATAGTCTTCCATAGCCGCAGCCTCTCTCTTCTGCGCTTCAAGTCTCGCGAGCTCCAGTCCAAAGCTCCTAAGCTTCTCCTCTCGTTGTTTCAGAATCTTTGCTTGGTCGTAGTCTTCAATATCAACCGCTCGGTCTTTTGCTACTTGAATCTCACGGATCCTGGCAGCCATTTCAGCGCCCACCTTCGTCCAACGGCGCCAGTCAATCGTCCCATCACGCATAACATTCTCCTCGTCTACAAACGATCGAGCACCAACTTCTTCATCCGCCAAGCAGCTCGTCAGCAGACTCAGAGGTTCGCCATAGACATGAATGGCCATAATGCCCACTTGATTGTACCGATTGTGTTCGTTCACGTAGCAGTCGTGGATCCGCAGCTTCAACAGCGCAGCTTCAGCCTGCACGTGCGCCGTCTTGAGCTCTCTGGCTCTGTACGTGCTCTCAGTATTCGGTTTGAGCCGAACGAAGCCCAAGCGACGAAAGCGATTCACGTCACCAACGTCTTTGTCGTTGTTCGTATCGAACGAGAGACTTGGGGACACGAAGAGCTCCAGTTTACGCGCAATGTGCGTCTCGTGGGACAAGATCTGGACGTGCGTGAGTCGACAGCGTCCGTCTTTCAGCTGCAGCACGATCTCCTGAGGGTACGAGCAGTTCCTAGAGCATAACACACAGCATAGCGACAGACAGACACGTAAACGTCAGTCAAAATGGCGCGTTCGTATCCGCAGAAACGACACAAGGAGTCACAACGAGCACACTGTACCTGGCAGTCATGTAGCGCAGCGACGTAGGGACCTGTTCTGCACCGTCTGACGCCGCAACAGTCGCGTCTGCGCTCGTACAAGCCGCGACCGAGTAGCGCAGTTTCCCCATGTTTCGCAACTCACTGAGCGTGCGGAAAGTCACTCGCTTTACCAACATGTCAGTACGAACCGACCATCACTCTGAAGCACACTCAATCGTCGTATGCCATACAAATTCACTGAGAGAGCAACCTACTCCTGGCCTCATTGTCTATTACTGGAGCTGCCGTGTACCCCATGGCCACGTCAAAGGTGCGAGGAGGAGCGAGCAGCGACGAGTCGGACGGCGGCCGCTCGAGCGCTTCCGGCTCCGTGAGCTCTCGCTCGGGCAGTAGCTCGGACTCTTCGCGGAGCGGCAGCGGCTCGGATTCAGGCAGTGGCTCAGGTTCCGGGAGCGACTCAGGTTCAGGTTCTGAGTCTGAGTCGGGCTCAGGTTCCCGCAGTGGCTCCGGGTCGAACTCGAGCTCTGGCTCGGACGGCTCCGCTTCGGACTCGTCCGTGTCGAAGAAAAGACTCAAGAAGCGACGCGCTGTGAAGCCCAAAGCCGCCGCGGCGGCAGCGTCTTCCAAGCTTAAGAGTCGCAACAGCAGCAGCAGCAGCAGCAGTCGAGGGACCAAGTTGCACGTGCAGAAACAGGTCAAGATTGAAGCTGATGCTGAAGCCGACAACGAGCGGGAGGCGGGCGGGAAGCGCCGTCGGGGCACGCTCCGGATCAAAGACGAGGAAATGGACGAGGAAGAGGAGGAGGACGACGACGTGGACGTCACTGGGCTGACGGAGGTGGAGAAGGAGAAGCGGCTGCTGGAGAAGTACGAGGCCAAGGAGCAGCGCAACAAGGAGCGCGAGCTGAAGAAGCGACTTGCCGCGTCGCAGGGCAAGGCTGAAGACGGTTTCTCCGAGGAAGGAGAAGAGGGAGAGGAGCACGAGTTGCCGTCGACGCGTCGTGGAGGACGCAGTCGAGAGAGCGATCGACGGAAAGAAGCGCTGCACAATTTGAAGGCCAATAAATCGAGTGACAAGAGTCGCTCGATCTTGAGCAACCGATTTGGAGACGAGGGGAGTTCGGACGAGGAAGGTGGGAGCAGAAGTGGACGGGATTTAGCAGAAAAGAGGCGACGCCGTCGAGAGTTGCAACGTGGAGGCACGGGACGACGTCGGAGTCATGCAGATGACGACGAAGACTATAGTGATGACGATAGCGACGGACGCAGAAGGAAGAAGTCGAAGGCAGTGGATCCCACTGCGACGACGAAAGCAGGTGACGAAGACGACCTTGCAGCTTCGATTCGACCGGAGGAGAACGTGCCGGTGAACTGGAATCAAGCGAACTTCTATTTGCTCAAGAGACGTGTGTTTTTCGAGAAGAACTTCTTTGAGCCGTTTTTTCCGCAACTGGTGCGGGGGGTGTATGTCCGCGTGCCAATCGAGATGGTTGACGGTGAAATGGTGTACCGTTTTTGCGAAGTTGTGAATGTGTGCAAGTTGCCGCGTAGTTACAATTTTTGCGGTGAGTCGACGCATATAGGTATTATATGCGCGTTTGGGAAGAGCAGGCGCGAGTGGAAATTGAGTGGTGTTTCAGGGCATTCGCTGCGAGAGCGGGAGTTCTTGCTGTGGCGAGCGGCGATTAACAAAGACCGACTGCATTTTCCGACGCACGGTGAAGTGAAGCGCGTGTACTCGAAGAAGGAGAAAATGATTACCCAGCACAACTACACAGAAGCACAAGTGGATGAGATGGTGCGGCGTAAACAAGCCGTGGGTCTGTCGACAGTATCGCTAGGTGTGCAGCGGGTGCGCCTGGAACGTGACCTGCGTGCTGCTCAAGATATGAAAAACTTTGAAAAGGCTGTTGTGCTCGAGGAGCGGCTTCAGCGTTTATTGGCCAAGAACGAGGAGCGCAAGAACCACAACTCTGACGACGTTCTTCGTATTAACGAGATCAACCGTCGTAATCGTGAGGCCAATATCCAGCAAGATCTACATGCCCAGGAGCTCAATGATGCCATGAATAAGAAAATGACGAGCGCCGAGCGTCTGCAGTTCGTGCGCGCCAATCAAATGACCATGTTCATGTCTCGTGACAAGCTGGAGAAAAACTTGGCGGAAGGCAAACTCATCAAGCTTGCGGACGGTCGGGTCCTGACTTCGAACAAGCTGCATACGGTTGAGGCGCTGCCTGATGATCTGCTAGACAAGGTGAAGGGTGTTGGTGAGAAGAAGCAGAATGGGGATGATTTAGAATTTGACATCGATCGTCTGCTAGCGAAACAGCGAGAGCGCAAGCAGAAAGATGCTGAGCGTCTGGCGGCCACGCAGAAGGAACATGCGAGCCAGGTCGAGTTCGTTGGCGTTGCCCCCACGAATATCCAGGAAAGAGCGAACGCCACCGTTCGTATCAAGGATGATGATGGGTCGTGGATGACGCTTCGTTCTCCTGCCGAGATTATAAAAGCGAAACAGAACAAGACCGCAGTCTCCGACAAGGTTAAGGCCTCTCGGAAAGGCATCACCGTGAAGGAGTACTTTGACCGGGTCAAGAAACGGCGCGTGGCTCAGTGAGCGTATCTTTAGTAGCACGATATGTCGGCACGAGGATCCACGTTGTGAGCCTAAATGAGACCGTATGTTTTACAATATACATTAGAAAATCAGTGCGTGCTGTAGTGCAGATCTTGATCGTGTTGTATTCGATAGACGAAAATAGCCCGACGTTGTCGTATTAAAGTCTCGAGTAATGCTGCTATGGCGTTTAAACAGGGAGAACAACAGGCCGATGTGGGAGTATCAAGCAAACCTGTTACGTGGATATATTTTGTCACCATCCACTAAAACTAATGTGATGGGCCATTCATGATTGCTGTATTGTTCAGGATACACAGAATGTGTCTTGTTAAGGGGTTATCGGAGATACTTTTAGGTGCCCCTCACGAAGGCAAATTAATGGAGGTCAAAAGCTCATGCTGTATCCGCACCGAAGAAACTGGAAATGGTATCGATGTGACATGACCAAAAAGGTTCACAGATTACTATTAACGCGGCTCGCGCCCTTTATTGCTAGCCTGAACTGCTCGGATAAATGACTCACATTCAGTCATAATTCGTACAATGTGACAGAATCGTGCTCATATTTCATCACATAAGCAGGACAGAACTCCGTGGTTGTCGTTGGTCAGTGGGATACAAAGAAGCGACATGCTGCTTTCTTTGATCCAATACCATTGAGTTGTTTTGCTGATAATCTATGTATGAATGAATGATGACTACTGGGGCATCGTGATATCTACCGCTGTCCCCAGCACTCAATGCATTTAGTAAATTTTGGGAGTCCGGCTCGTCTGCTTTTACAAAGTTGCAGTATCTATCGGCGGTGTAGTCAGTAAGAACATGTTGTAACCCATCCAATACGCTGTCTGCCCGATGATTAGAACTGCAACGGATCAGTGGAATCGTTGATCTCCCCTCGGTTTTTTGATAAAATCTCCTCAGTTTGATATGACGCTACATAATTGGCGTATTATAAGTCACGAATTGAGTGAGCGATATCACTTTCAGCTGTATTTTAAGGGAACGTTAATCACCCCTAGGTTTTCGTTTACCACCCACCCCTCCAATATATTACCGTAATTTACTCGATTCACGCCTTCTGATTGGTAGGATTGAGACATACCACCAGTCTCAGAAGTAATTTACGATCTCATTTACAAATGAAAAGATATTGATTTCGAACATTACGTACATGTCTTCAAGTCGGCGACATGTGGTGCTTTATTATTCAACTACTTCATTTGACCGAGAAGTGGCTCGGTCAGCTTGAGAGTATTGTACGAGCGATTCTGGAACAGTTTGGTTCTTGTTGCAATTATTCGGCGAACATGTTTGTAAACGGACAAATCTTGTCGCCAATGACAGCGTCATTAGCTGCTTCAACCATAACAAAAACAAGACAATGCTGGCTATAGCCTGGATAATTGTTACGTCTTTCTCGCTAGCTGCAACGCTGCCGCACCCCGGTTGTCATGGCTAGCATAGCACTGACCACCCTCGACGCTGTTGTTCCCTGAGCGGCGTGCTGCTGCCGTATCTTCATTGTCTTGCGACTGCGTTATGACTTTGGGTTACCATAGCGGTACCATGAAGTTGTGCCGGCTTGACAATTATTGTCGCCAACTTCATGCGCCACGCGACAGCTCATAGTCTTGGTAAAGTGCAGCAATGTCAGCGCACTCTCGTGCAACTGCTTTAGTTTCTCTCCGGTATTGTTGATCGTGTCCGTGTTTCTACGTGGCGCGAGTCAAGACCACGGCCCTTGGCCATGGAAACCATGTCAATATATTCCATGTGGATAGCGGCTTCATCCTCTTCTATTTTTTCCACCTTGTGGACCTTCTCGTTAAAAAGACCACTCTGTTGTACCATATCATCGTAACAGCCCTCGTTTGCAGCACATCTAGCATTGAGTACCAGATTTTAGGCTGCATTTAGCGAAGTGGTCAAGCGATGCGTAACCGAGATGATCTTCATGTACATCTTGCCCGAATGGCGCTACAGGGTAGACACAATCGATGCCTCAGTCTCAGGACCCAAAGCGCTTGTGGCTTCATCAAGCAGAAATAGGCTCGGCCGACGGCAAAGCGAATAAAACAAGCAGATACATTGGGCCTGGCTGCTACTCAAGCTATATGTTGCATGCTACCCACTACCGTTTCAAATTAGTACTTGAGGTTTCGAATGCAGTAACACTCCGCGAGGCGCGCATTTCTTCACAGTCAGCATTGGAAACACTAGTGCTTCCGTAGCGAAGGTTCTTTAGATAGGGATGCAATTGTTGTGCTGGGATTGGCTGCCCCTATTTAGTAATATGACTTACTATTATGATCGATAAAACAAATGGAAATTATATTGGCTAATGTAACTTTGTGCGCAAACCGTCGTGTGGTGGACGTCATTGTCGGCGTTCCAGATGACACTCTGACCCTGGGTCATTGGTCCGGGTCAGAACTCGACCCCGAACCCGGACTAGCTGGTCCAGAGCAACCCAAAGGGTAGTTCTGGTCCCACACTTGTGTGTACCACATACTCGATAATTGCAACAGATCTTTCAATGTACTAGTGAAAGTGTTTCGGATCAAGTGGGGAATTCAAGCGTTCATGTGGCGAAGTCCTTCAGTGAAATCTTCTCATGAGCCAACATGTAATTCTTTGTATGCACTAAAATTTAAAAACCATTGCATTTATGGTTGACGTTTATACGTTCGTTTTTTGTAGCAGGCATCCTTCTTCTGCCATGACCCTGCTCATCATGCGCTACTTTCAATCTGGATTTAGCCTATTCCACGGATCGTCGGATACATATCGTTGTACGTTCACTTCGTGTAGACGCATGCACATCTTCCAGTCATTTTGGTTACAAGCTTGTTTAGGTGATCGACCGTGTATCACAGCCATTTTCAGACGAGTTTACAAAGAGATCGTTGCAGGATTACGAAGTTCGAGAAGGTCACGCAGCTGCTTTTATTTCACAAACTGACAAGGCAAGGAATGCTCTAGAATAAGTTTGATCGATGCCTTCATTTTGAGCTCAATTATATTAGCTTATGCGATGCACGCACACCTTCAGGTATTCTTTGATAAAGTATGCGCGCATTGCACATTGTCTAGGTAGCTCACCATGTGTCTGGTGCTTGCTAATCAAATGCTTGGACATGTTATTAGTACCACTCATAGCTGTACATACGTATGCTCCGCAAATTGCTGATCCGCCACGAATCTTTGGGACCTGAAAACAGCTTTACCTTCTTCTCTAGGCCTTGCAAATTAGTCATAAATCCAGCTTGTCTTCTTGCCAATGCTGTCACTTGCAACACCCTTTGTTTGGTGGGTGATTTTGTCGGCGAAGGCGACCGACGATGTAGTTTTCTGATTGCATCGATTCTAAATTCATTTTCTTAAAATGATTTATATAAACTGGCTAAAATATACATAATATGAAATGCTGCTTTGTAATCATGGAAGATCGACACTAGCCTCACCAATCAGTAAATGGGTGCTAAATTTGAAAAACAGAGCTAAATACAGCACTCCAAGCAGTCAGATTTTTTGTCTGGGTTGGTTGCATTGGTAAAAATATGAGGAGAAAAGAGATTATTGAGTCATTGGTCCGGGTCAGACCTCGAATCAGGACCTCGACCAGCCGGGTTAGAAACCGGGTCGACCCAAAAAAAAGGTTCGGGTCGGAGCCCCGGTTTCAGCCATCGTTTGCGGTTTACGTGAATCAAAAGATGTTAATGAGTACGTGATTGAGTATAGCCATCATATTATACCAAAAAAAAGCAATGATCAGCATCACTGATGCAAAATTTTTGTTAGTATTTGCGGAGGAGATGCGGTCGTTGTACGACGGTGAGTCACAACGCACAACAATGGGGAAGTTTAATCGGACCCACACCTGCAGAACTTAACAAAACAACTTTACCTATCTAATTAAGTTTGACCATATTCATCAGTATGAGTCTACTAGTTTTGTAGGTACTATCACTCGTGCATTACAGAAATAGACCCTTATTTCACAAGCACGTATTTTCCTTATCTTCATTTGCAACACAGCAACTAACGTCGTCGTAAAGCAGTATCATACTGTTTGCGGTGCCTTATCAACTATTCGATAACAAAGTAATCTAATTTAGCTAAGCAAGCGCGCTTGTCAAAAGTCATCTTTATGTCCTCTTGCATGATCTTATGCCGACCTACATTGCACATTAACAGATCCGGTCGCAAATACCGCACCGGAAAATCTCAATTGACACAGTAACGAACAGAATTTTTTTAACAGGCGTCACGGGCACGCCACACGAACGATCTGAATGTGCTCCAAAATGAATAATGTAGAAAAAGCAGTCTCACCACTCATTAACGCAGAAAATTTTCATGCAAGTGCTATGGGGACCACTTTGTGTTGTGGAGGCGTCGAAACTTAAAAATTAAAAATCGATTGAGAGCACCTGCAGACAAAAAAGCTTCGAAATCGCAAACTTTCCAGGCAAAGCTTGACATATTTATGCGCGAAGAATACATAAGAACGATTGCAAACTAAAATGAAAGGTCAAATATATGATCAAACGCCGAATATAGTAATTGCGAGCCCGAAGGGTAAAGCTGATAGTGATTGTACGCAAGGTTGAAGGTCGAACATTTTTAATCGTGCCGTTTGTGTGCGTCTGTCGGTCCGTAAATAACGCATTCAGGTGTACTCTTTACCTACTTAGTGCGATCTAGCCTATTGCCCTCGTATGTATAAATATATCCAAAGTCATGCATTGGCTATGTCGTTATTGGGGTTTGATAATGACCTAGCCAAAAAGTGACTTTGGATTCTTGTGATTGGCTTCAAATTAATCAAAAGTGAATATGACCACTTAAGCGAATGCTGGAAGCTAAAAGGCGAAGGCCGATAGCGTTACCGTAGCATTCTTTAATGGGCAACCAGAGACATTTACAACATCACACTCATTATTTTAGTGACTGCCGTTGTATAGTGTTATGTAAATCGATTCAAGTTTCTT